CCTAAAGGAAACTGGATGCACTGTTGTTCAGAGACTTCACTGTTGAGTGCGCAGCGTGGTATATAACATCGGGAACTGCTGACAAAGAAACCAGGCTGGCACTTTGGAGACCTGGGTTTTATTCTCTGATTTCCTCAAGCAAGTCACTTCCCACCCACTCTCTTTCTCTTTCCCAGTGTGACTGGAAACTCTTGAGGTTGTGGATTTTCTCAGTAGTTACCCAGTGCCCAGCATAACGGGAGCTCAAGTTTTTATCAGGGTCTTTGGCTAACCATGGCATACAAAGGACAACAGACAGTATTTCTAAGGAAGGTGCTCTGCTGGGAGGTTGAATACAAGAAAAGGTCATGAGGAGTCCAAGGTACCCCAAATACCAACAGCTCAGAGTCCAAAGAAGAAGAAAAACCCCAAGAATAAGCCAAGTACCTCTGGCCAGTCTTTTTCCTTTAACTGCAAAGAAAAGCAATCTTTACGAAGCGATAAAGCCATCCAAGAATGGCTGCAGTTTTTTCTTTTAAATGAACCAGAGAGAACAGATGGTCTCCTCTCATACTGTCACAAAGGTCAAAATTAGCCACCCCTAAGACTAGCAGGTTCTTGAAATGCTCAAGTGCTTGTGTCTGGTAGTTATGACTAATCCACTCTCCAGAACAAGAAAGGTCAAATGAAGAACACCCCTCCAAATACTGCAACTACTCCTAGCCATGGCTGATGTGTAATGCACTCAGACATGGTGTCAACAGCTGCTCCTAAAACCCAATGAGTCAGCCTTTCAAAAGAACTTGTCAGCTTTCACTGTTAGAGCTTTCATACAGATTATATTTACTCCTCAATGCTTAAAAATACCTTTTCTAAACCTCAAAAATAGAAAATTTTTTCCTTACAGAATTTGTCCTTTTCCCCCAGACAGCAGCCCAAGAATGTCTCATGTATTTACTTGGGAGCAAAAGTTCCTAGCTCTTCTTTTACTTCCCTCTTCACCTGCTGACAGCTAAACCAAAGGCAGGCCACTGTTTCTGAGGTCATGTACAAATGAAGGATTTCTGGTCCCTTTCACAACTTTTACCTGCAAACCACAGTCAGCCTTCCAGAGCACTGTGAGGTTAAGTGTTCTGCTCAACAGACAGGGTACAGAGACATTGGGTGACTTGCCTGTGGTCCTACAACAGGCGTGCAGGCGCAAATCCCCTATCCATCCCCTACTCTAATCACCAATCTCCCTTGGATGCTGTCATTTAAATAAAAAGGCCTATTGGAAATGACAGGTGAAGAAAGCAGTCCAGGCATGAAATGCACTCTAAAGTATATTAATAGAAGGTTGCCAGACAAAACGGCACAAGGCATTTGATCGCATCATCTTAGGCTTGTTGTTCATGCTCCTTTGCATCTGGCTGCGTGATTTCTGCCAGATTCTCGGCTGGAGGAGCAGGCTAGGCTTTGCCTGCTTTCCCTAACCCGTGCCGGGCTCAGCTGCAATCATGCAGAGCACTGAAAGAAATCCCTTTGAGTCGGGATTCATTCCGAACATGTAAAACCCAGACAAATGACTGCTTCTCCAAAGTGAATCCCATTTCACAGCAAGTAGGTTATTAGTGTGGAACTCCATACAAGTAGCCTGCATTCAAAAGCCCTCTGCATTATTAATAGAAGATGAGCTTTTGACATCAAAGGAGAACCATTATGTATGCTAAACGGTGGCAAAAATTGTACCCGCACTTCAAACCTTTTCAGTTCTTTGTCCCTTGTAAATCAATCAAGGTTGACAGATGCTTTAAGGAGAGTAATCTTTTCAATGATACTGTCAATGGATAACATAATGGAACATTGTCTCTGTGCTGTGTGAAGACATGGAGCTAGTCAATTATGGACAACACTTCATGCAGCCGCCAGTTTTCACTTGAAGTGCTGCTGTTGAAGTATTATAATCCCAACAAATGGCCGCAGCAGCATACAATGTAAATGAGACCTCCTGAAGCTTTGGAAAATTAATTAGTAACAACAGTGGTCCATTCCCACACTTTCAAACACCAGCCTGGTAATGTTAACGATGCACTTCCCCCCCTTCCTTTTGAGCAGTCAATAGGGCATATTTACATACACTATTTTTAATCTTCAACACTTTTTTTCCCCTCTTTTTAAATGCAGGAAGCTCTGGATTCCTTTCCTCTCTTTCGAGCCGCAAACTTCACCCCTAATATTTCCAACCAGTCACAGAGCCCACATGGCTGGAGCTGAAAGCAAGAGTACAGAGACTTTCCCACTTGGAGACAGCAGTAATAGCCAGTCCTCTTGCTTCGCATACATCGGACACTTTGTGGCTGTCTCCTGTTCCAACACTTCTATCCCCTCAATTGCCCTGCGAAGAATGGCTTGGATAGATGGCAGGGGAAAAGCTTCCGGTCTCCAGAGACCACTAGGATGTGAGTTGAAATCCCAATATACTGAGTGCCAGCAGCACCTAGGTCAAACTGTGGTGCACTGGATGCCAACATATATATCTGATTGCCAGCTTCTACAGAAAGGAGATTGAGGGTCAAAGGGGAGAGACTGCACTGTTTATTTAGCTATTGGCTTCTATTTCCTACGTCATTTTCTCAAAGATTTTCCCTTTGTCAACCGAGGCTTGCGCTAAGAGCAACACTTAATCTCCCACAGTAACAGACAGAAATCCTACACTTGAGCACAAAATTTCTAAACTCCTATCAATTGCAGGTTTTCATTGCTATGATCTGTGAATGCCCCCTTACCTATAATGTGTTTTTGAAACAACCAGGTGCAGATAAGGAACTCAATCACTGAGGTCTTCTCGGACAAGAACTGGCTGTTTGTTCCTTGAACCCAGCTCCCTCTTCCCCAGGCTCCAAACAGCTGGGAACAGATGCAGCTGCTTTCCCTGCTCATTTAGTACAGATTCAGTCTTCTGCACTCTGGACAGTTTTCTGACAAATCCTTGCAGTGGTTGACTGTAGAAAGCTTCAGACTGCAGCAGTCCCCCGAACCCCCAAAACATACAGACAATGGTTGAACAATACTGACAATGGTTAAACAATTCTATGAGGCAACAGAGGAAGCAACAGCAGCCGCACACCCTCCCAGGTATTACCCAGCCAGCTGCCACTGCTGAGCCCAAGAAGCAAAGGGAAATGTTTGGTCTGCTAGAGGCCCCCTTCCTGGCAATAGAAAAGGCAGAGGAAAGGGTATCTTCTACCTAGCCTTAGAAAAGTCAGAGACTGATCCAAACTTTTTCCCACTCTTGCAAAAAACAAACTACTATAGAATAGAGAAACAGACAGGAATCAGGAGGTTTCAATTCCTCCTTCCTTTTGCTGGAACAGATCTGTCAAGAAAACAGTGGCACAACTCCATTTCTATACTCACTTCCCACTCAAACTCCACGGTGCACTATGCACAAACACAAGACAGAAAAATGTTCTACTGCATCTTGATGAAAAAGCTTTAGGCTAGCATTCTTGCCATGATGAAAATGGTCTTTTTTCCAATTACAGTTTCTTTTTCTGTGAAGACTCGTCTGCTTTTGTACCTGTTTTTAGATTTTGTTTCTCTAGAGCTAAACACATGGAATGCTGTAGGGTCCCTATCCTCCTCCACCCACCACCTCTGCCACAAGCTGGTTGGGATGGCACTGCAGAGGAGGCAGGCACCATGCCCCAGCTGTCCCCATCTTTGAGAGGAGACCCAGGTTTATCTCTCAGTACCAGGAGGATGAGTATAAGCAAAAGGGGGACAGCAGAGACTGGGAAAATGTATGGTGGGTGACAAAGAGGGTTACAAACATAACAGACACAAAATCAGGGCCCAAACACTAGGTTCTTCTGCTCTTCTCTGCTTAGTGTAGCATTCCAAAGTCATTTTTAATTCAGCCTGTTCCCATTATATAGCTGCCGAATGTCATCCACTGCCTTCCCTCCTCACAGCTCATGGCTGGAAGTTCCCACTGCCGTGGCTGAGATGTGTTCTGAATATTCCTTATCCCAGCCAAAGCAAAATGGCACACCAAACACCTCTTACTTGAAAGACTGTCCGCTTAAGCAAACCTGGAGTGCACAGACTGAAACAGAGCAAGGGATGGCTGTTTAAAGTAGCTTAGCTGGCAGCTCCACAGGCGTGTAAGGTGAGCCTAGAGAAGCAAACAAGCAGTTGCAGGCAGTCTTGGGCATTGTGTGTTCTACTTGCACAGCTGTCAAGGAAAAGTGATGCACAGAAGAGGCTATGGAAAGGGCCAGGATGCCATACTTGGGCACAAAGCTGCCACACACTGGACCAGAGTCTTAAATCTACTGACTTCTGCAGAGCTACTGATACCAATGTGTGCTAAGGATCTGTTCTACAATATTTGAAACTTGCTCTAAAACCATATGCCCCTTTCCAATTCATTTATAGGAGTTTACCATTTATTTCCAATACCCAGAGATACCTACACCCAAACTTTCCTCCCAAGTTACAAGACATGTATTGGACAATTGCAGATTTTCTTGCAGAACAGCTTTCTGTGCTAATATCAAAGAATTTCAAAAGCATACATTGCCTTTGTCACAACTTTCAACAGAAAATTATCTAATCTTTTCTTTCAAGTTTATTATTTTTACTCCAATTTGCTATTATATTATTAAAGTGTACAAGTAAAAAAATTTGCCAATATAATGTAACAGAAACAGTGAAACAATAAAGCTGAGCCAGTTGATCAAAAGACAAAAAAATCTTCTGATAAAAACTAAGTGTTCCAATAATTCAGAACCAAAGGTTACAGTATGGAAGATGAAGAACCTGCTTCTGTTCACGTGTCTAATGATAGCACATAAGATCACAACTTACCACTTTTGGATAAGGTAACTATAAGAGGGAAGATGGTAGCTAATAATGACAAAAAAATTAAGTAGACTTCTATTCACATTAAAATAAAATTCACACAACCCAATTAAGCCAGAGAGTTATCATTAAAAATAAATTAGGAAAAAATTAATTAAAAGAATATTGCTTACATAAGAGAAGTCTTCGGCATTCTGACAGAGTAGCTTGGGGAAAACAGCCTGTCGCTGAAATCTTTCCTCGTCTTCAAAGATGTTCCCATACATGAAGCCATTCATCATGGTGGAGTGGGCATGGATGTCAATATAGAACTCCAGGTTAATCTTCTGTTGAGGAAAAACAATGACAACAGAAAAACATTCAGCATGAGATAAATCATAACTGTGTTACACAGGTGAAGCCTCCCTTAAATCCGATACTGCCATCAGATTTGAATCTAATCATGGTGCCAGCATCAGAGAGCGATGCAAAAGACACTGCTTTGATGCATCTAACCATTCATGCCTCTTTGTGGGTGCATGTGAGGTGCAACACAGGTCCATGATAGTGTGCTGGTTTTGGCTGGGATAGAGTTAATTTTCTTCATAGTAGCTAGTATGGGGCTGTCTTTTGGATTTGTGCTGAAAAAAGCGTTGATAATATAGAGATGTTTCCATTGCTGCTGAGCAGCACTTACACAGACCCAAGGCCTTTGCTGCTCCTCACACCATCCCACCAGCAAGGGGCTGGGGGTGCACAAGAATCTGGGAGGGGACACAGCCGGGACAGCTGACCTCAACTGACCAAAGGGATATTTATTCCATACCATATGACGTCATGCTCAGCATATAAAACTGGAGGGAAGAAGAAGAAAGAGGGGGATGTTTGGAGTGATAGTGTTTGCCTTCCCAAGTAACCATTACTGTGATGGACTACTTTCCTGGAGGTGGCTGAACACCTGCCTGCTGATGGGAAGTGGTGGATGAATTCCTTGTTTTGCTTTGCTTGCACGGGTGGCGTTTGCTTTAGTTGTTAAACTGTCTTTATCTCAACCCACGAGTTTTCTTACTTTTACTCTTTTGATTCTGTCCTCCATCCCGCTGTGGGGGGAGTGAGCAAGCAGCTGTGTGGTGCCTAGTTGCTGTCTGGGGTTAAACCACAACAGATAGACATTTCTGTACCTGTTCGGAGAAGGCTGGGACATTTATGCAGCACAGGACACTGTGCAAAATAGAGCCAAAGCATTACCCTTCGCTCTGATACAGGGCTTAGTGCCACTGATAAAAAATATGCATCTTCCAGATCTAGAGCATAATTGTTCAGGCATAGCTTTGCCATCTCCGCACGGTTCTGCATCACAATATGCAGATGTACCCTTCTGCCAGGAAAGACAGGCTCAAAATTATGTAAAAGAGAGTTAGTATCTCCTGTGCAGTTTATTTCATTTTATAAGGAGAAATACCGCAAATGCTTTTGTCGTACTGTGCTTTGTAGTACTAATTCAACAAAACAACTCCCAAAAGTAAGTGCCTTGAATGCCTCTCTGCTTGTAGCTTCTCATGTGACTCCTCATCAACTCTGCTTCAAACAAAACCACCAGAACTCCCTAACACAGAAGCGCCTGCTCTCCCCATACCCTTCCCGGACTGGCAATTCAGTGTCAGAAGGCTCTGTAAGAAAATGCTACTCAAGTCTCCAGTCCAGGGACACATCTTTTTCCTCACATCATATATAAGTGATACTACTTCGCCTGCCACCGGTGGCAAAGAGTGAACGTTCACTTTGATCGCCATGTACAGTGCCATTGACAGCAGTGAGAAGGCAACATCCAGTACTAAAAAGTGCTACCAGAGCAGATGCCCCTGGATTACCCAGAGTTTCCCCAAACTCTTGCAGCTTCTGGTCCTGAACAAATGGTGCTCTGTGCCTAGACAGTGACAAACCCAGCCCTGCCACCTGGCCACCATGGGGCTGGTAAGAACCTTCCTGGTGACCAGAGAGTTACAGTCCAGATCTCCCTGTCCCAACAGGGGAATGGAGAAGAGCTCTGCTAGCAGAACAGGGATTACGATGCTTAGCCCTGTACCCCTCAGCAGCAAATAGGGACCCTGGCCGGTAAAACACAACATGTATCGCTCTGGCCACATGTCTCATCTGCACACAAAGCTTGCTCGGGCTACTGGTAAATACTGAGCTACAAAACAGTTTAATGTAATACAAATGCAGATTGTATTACACAGTTCACGTGACAGCAGTGTCAGCTCTTCTAGAGAGTCTCTGATGGGGGGAGAACATCATTCGGTATGTGAAACTAATATGATACAGATTTACTTTCCCTTGGCAGAAAACCAATGTACAATACACAGTGACTGTTTAGTTTAATTAAACAGCCTAGAGAGAGTAATACTGTATCTTATTAAGCCTCTTCTATGTTAAAATGTTAGCTAATGCAATATCAATATATGACCATGCTTCATAGGAAAAGGAACATTTGATTGTCTTCGACTCTAATACAATAAATTGTTTGCTCCTGCCAAAACATTATGCTGTGCTATAGAGGACCAACGCTGCAATAAAGCACACATGTGCTATTTGGAGATACAGCACTGAGGAGAAATACTAGCATTGACAGGATGAAATACCACGTAGGATTTTCTTCCTCTCCAAACATACAGAAATTAAAACCGAGATTGAGTAATATTATTTTTCATAAGATAATTTACCCATCAGAAACAGAATTTGATGAGATCAGATGCACACTGGCATATCATCGTAAAACAGAACATGTTGTAGAGTCTCAAAACAGTGATTTGATGATGGAGAGAGGAGATAATCTAGTTAAACTGGATATTTGTAAAGCATGAATGCCCTTCACATAGAAATCAGTGACCTAAGTCATACTTATTTTAGAACAACCAGACAGAATACTTTATAGGGACTTATTTACTAATATAAAGTAATAGAGAAGCACAACGAGATATATAACAATAGACTAGTATAATTTGTGTCTTAACACAAATAAAGGTGCTGGCATAAACTCTATGATTTTTGCTCTGTCATACTACACTTACTCATCCATATTTGTCCAACCGTTTCCAGAACAAGGTGTCTGCAAACAGGGACACAGAGGCACAGACTACTAAGATAGCTTTCCATAGGCTATCCAGCAAGATATTCACCTGCAGAACATGGGTGACCTGAGCCTCAGCTTAGTATTCAATTGATCAAGTCATCCAGTCTAACACAGTATCACTAGAGAATATTTCCTAAACTGTCCTAGGACTCTCGCTAAAAAAAAATTCCTGATGAAAGTGTTCCAGAGAATTTTAGAGAATCTCTTGGGGTACTGAAATTTCTTTGAAAATATTTCTTGATCATCAAACCCATTTTCAAACAGTCTGGTTTCAATGGCTATTTGTGAGTGAACAGTGTGTGTCCTTCACAGATACCACCTCAACCTAAAGATTAAACTTCCAGATCACTTATTTGGAAACCATGACATTCAACAGATAGCTCATCACCCAAACAAGTGTTTAAAAACATTTATCTAGTCATTCATTACAATGTATTTTAAAAGTCACTTCCTAAGTCAGCCCACAATAACTATTCAGCTTTTTTCTGGTTTTTCTTCCTTATTCTCCTAGTGAACATATAAAAAACTCTATTTCACATATTCCTGCCCGCTAAATATAGACTAAATTTGCAATTGTCCATCCTCTTCAGCAAGTTGTTAAACATTGCTAGAGTAATTACCAGTTAGATGTACTACTCCCAGACACTGCTGTATGTGAGCAGAACAGTATTTCAGTGTTTCACATTTCTTTTGTTCTCATCACATTCATTATTTTATCAAAGGGAAACATCCTGAGCATCCTCCATTACAGAACAAAATTATTCACTGCCTTGTTAACATAACACATGAGTTCCTAATAGAAAAATTATCTTTATTCACAACCACAAAGATATTGTGACCTTAAAATGGACAATAACAGCCCAGTCACTGGGACATTAAACTCAAAGTTTGCTACCTCGTGCCCCAAGTAGTAGACCAAATAGTAGACAATTTGTTTACAGACAAGTTTCACCAATTAAGTAAGATATATTCCTGCACAATAATGGTATTTCTTCTCTCTCTTTAGAGACATACATATTCCTAAGTACCTTACATGCAGGAACTGTTTTACTGCCACACTACACATTTAAGCTAGGGAATAAAGTTTCATATTTCAGTTGAGGTTCTCTGGAAGATTTTGACATAATTACTGATCTCCTGCAATTTAGGCAGGATCACAGAATTAACATTTTTATTAAATACATAATGTCACCTACTGATGGGAATTTCAGAAAAATCAGCAGAGAGCTGACCTTCTGAAATGGTTTCTCTTTGAGATAGGGAGAATTTTAATGGGAGAATGAAGTTAATAAATGTATGTGTGCATTTACATGACCACATACAAACACACTCTATAAACATAAACCAATCCTATCTGCTGTTAAACAAAAGGCTATCTGTAAGTACACAGCAGAACCCACCCCGGTTATGGCTTCTAATCCAGTAGCATCTACAATAAGAAAGGGAATAAATTTAGAGATGGCTCAAAGTCTCATAGTCACATTTGCTTCAGCCTTTAAGCAGAAAATAATGAATAACCAGGCTTGAATATCGCTGGATGCCATAGCTGCCTTCTGAGAGACTTACAAGTTACATCCTACAATATGATATTAAACTCATCATTTTCTGCTTTAGAGGTGGAATGCAAAATGATTCAGATGCCTTATAAAAATCATCATGCAATTTAATTCCCTCAAGTGTCTTGTCTTTGTGGTTACAAGCAGCAGCAGAGATTTTGTCTCTCACATTCTCTTTCTTAAGTAAAGCTGTAATTACCTGGATGACCCAGCTTACAGAGTTGGAGAAAACAAAGGCAGAGTTGGTCTTTCTTTTCTCTATGTGTCAAAACAGAAATCACTCACTAGACTGACAGAGACAATGATTGAACCCCACTTCCTAGAAAATAAGTTAACATTTTCTTCCTTGAAAAGAATGGTCTTTGCCTCTTCTTGCCACTTACCACATAAGAACAGAATAAATAAATAAGAAAACAAATGTTTGCTCTAAAGTTCATTTGAATCCCTGCCTTTGTGACACACTTTTCACTGTTCTCCTGAGTCAGTCTAAAGTTTCTGGCAGCTTGAGAAATATAGATATAAATTAGGGAGGGGGAAAAAATGAAAGAAATAATGGTTAAAGAATAAGAGCTCACATGCATTGTCAAGATATGAAATAGTCAAAGTAGCACAGAAACTGGAAGCTGGTTCATGATGCCATGTAAAGTTTTGAGAAAAT